GAGAGTGTGACAAATTGGGGCCCTCGGCTCTGTGATAGAGGCAACCAGGACCATCTAGCCTGCATTATTCATGAGGAGTGGGAGCTGTGATATGGTGTCTACTACCATAACAAAGCCACAGTCAGAATGTCAAACTGTGCGAGCGCCAACATTTCCCCATCTGCAGACACACTCAGGAATAAACCGTAATGGAGGCATTTTGGCACCAGCTAATGATGATGTTATCAGTTCTGATTAAGATGTCGGGTGTACAATGAGCTTACTCACTGTTTTTAAGTGAAGTGAAGACAAGTCATGATTATTTTTGAGCATGTTTAGACTGATTACAGACAAATTAATACATGCTGTTTACAGTATGAAGAACATATTCTCAACACTGAGCACACTGTATGAAGTACAGTCTCTATGACACTGAACTTGTTCTAGTGTTGGTCATTATCCACAGTAAAACAGCGCACTCTAGTGGTGTGAAGGCAGAAGTTTCACCGTACTGCTCCATACTATTCATTAGCTACTTCATCATTTAGTCCCGCTCACTTTGGTTGCCAGGGGTGACTCTTTGTCATTTTGATTTTTCCCCTATCTAATGATACAAATCTAATCTAATGGTATAAATGGACATTTTTTTCCATCACATTTTATTCATAGTATATTAATCTTCCTTTACATTGTTAAAAATATGAGTAAATCTCAGCAATTACAGTACAAAAGAATGAGGCGCAAATTGAAAGCTTTACTTGGATGGGCAGATTATGAGACACCTGGGCACAGATATGTGAAGGGCCTCACCACCTCCCTACAAAGGAGCAAACACACAGACTTCGTTGGAGGTTTTACATCTCTTTGAAGGTATTATGTCACGTTTGGGGATGTTGTGTCTCCTTGTGGCTGTTTTGTGTCTTTTTGCAGTTGTATGTGTCTTATTGAGGTGATTTTGTGTCTTTTTTGTGGTTGTTTGTGTATATTTGTAGTCATTTTGAGTCTTATTGGGGTACTTTTGTGTCTTTAGGGTCATTTAGCATCTTATTGAAGTGATAATGTGTCTTTTTGAGGTACTTTTCTGTCTTATTGAGGTACGTTTGTGTCTTAGATGTAGGCCTACTTTGTGTCTTACTGAAGTCATTTTGTGTCTCATTGAGGTAATTATGTGTCTTTTTGAGGTACTCTTGTGTCTGTTGGTTATTTTCAATTCAATTCAGTTTTATTTATAAAGCCCACGACATCCCTCTGTCCATGGACCCTCACAGCTGATAAGGAAAAACTCCCCAAAAAACCTTTAATGGGGAAAAAAAATGGTAGAAACCTCAGTAAGAGCAACTGAGGAGGGATCCATCTTCCAGGACGGACAGACGTGCAATAGATGTCGTGTGTCTTTTAGAAGTTGTTTGGGTCTTTTTGAAATATTATTGGGTCAATGACATTTTTTTAATGTCATTGAGGTGATTTTGTTTCTTTTTTTTTGCAGGTTCTTTGCATCTCTTTGTGGTCATTTTAAGTCTCTTCCTGGTTGGTATGTGTTTATTTGACATATTGCAAGTGAAGGACAGGCCCCCCCCCGCACACTTTAGACCCCTGGGCTGGTGCCCAGCAGAACTGTTCAGTAATCCATCATGTTTACTTGCAGTTGAAATAACTGTAACAGCCTGTATCCCCAAAACACAATCCTAATCTAATCATTTTTTTTATTACGGGTTTGTGGTGCACAGTGAGCTGGAGATATTGAATTTTTATTATTAAATGAAACAGCTAATGTAAGAAACAAATGAGAAATGAAATAAATTAGAGAAGTAAAAATGAGTTTGGGACTTGTGCTACTCTCACAGCTCTGTAATAATAAGACAATACAAAACAAGTAAATAAAAGCGAGGGGAGACTTCAATATCTCTTTTTTATTAATTCTGACACACCGCGGTCAGATAGAAAAGTATGAGAGTTACACTTTTCAAGTTGCTTCCATGACTTGTGCAAACACTAGACGGTATCCGGGCGAAAATCCCCTGAAGGGAAAAAAACTAAAACAGAAAAGAAAGACATCGAAATGCAGAAAAAATGAATAAGTGCATTTAAACCTATGTGTTGATTCTTTATGCAGTATTTATTGATTCCCAGCTTCATATAAACTGGATGTTGAGGCATAAACATAGTACATTTGAACAAAAATATAACCAATATTTACAATTATTGTATTAAAAATACAAAAACAACTGATACGTACTCCACCAATTGTCTTTTTAAAAGACATACAGGTCAAAGTAGTACAAGAAAGAATGAAGAAAAGAAGGTCGTCACCAGCTAAATGTACATTTCTCACTGACATCACACATCAAACAGGAGTAGCAGTTCTACCTACTACACTTATCTTTACGCTTGTACATTTTTGTGCAACTTTTTGTTTTCGAAATAGGTCTCGGCCCGCTAATATGCACATTATCTTCAGAGTTGAATGAAAGTGAATGATGCATGTCACCACTGTATTACAAACAAATTATTAACAATCTATCTGCAGCCATTACAAAAAAAAAATACAATAACAAAAAGAAACCCAGGAAATCATTAGTGTATAGTCACAGACCACAGTGGAAAACACTGCACTCATTCATCTTTTTCTCAGTCTGTAGTTTCCAAGACTGATCAATGTGATCAGTGCGACTCAGTGATAGAAGAAAACAAAAAGTCACTTTTCACAATTGGATTTCTAATCGTTCTGATTGGCAGCCTTGAAAAAGATTTTCTTCATGCGTCAACTTCCCCACCGGAGTCGGAGAAAAATAAAATCTTCAGTCACTTCCATCGATGGCGAGATATGGTGGAAAAACTGGATGCAGGCTTTAGCGATTTACAAACAGCATCCACTGAGCTGATGTCTGTAACAGGTGAGTTTCAGAGGATGAGTCGATGCAGCAGAGGGAGGAGTGCGGGGCGCTCTGTGTGTAGACGAAAAAGATCTAACAACACAAGTGTGATGATGCCGTCTGAAGCCACGTGAGAACAGAACACATAGAAAATGCTTGGCTTCCTCTTGTACTGAGTCTTAATGTTGAAATAAAAAGTCTTGGGGGAAGTATCTTGAATAAGGCATTTCACTCCGCTATTGCTTGAATCAAGACTGCTCTTGAAACAAGGTGATTTGTGACGGGAACAACCACACAAAGAAATGTATGCGATCATGGAATCGTAAGGCGCTTTGGACATTCACAAAATGTGGTGTGATGTTCAGGTTGAGAAGAAAAAAAAAAAGCCAATTTAGAATTTGTGGATACTTTTATCTTGAAAGTGTTTTATAAGACTCTGTACAAGATCACTTGTAAAGGTAGATAGTTAATTTACACATGGCAGCTTCTGAAATATGCTGATATTTACCACCTTGATTGGTCTGTGATTCTTTTCATATAAAACAAAGAAAGAGAGGCAACGTCTCTGACAGCAAGTGTCAGTGAGTGCTCGCTGACCGCTCACAGTTTGTACTTTACCTAACATCAGCTATAAAAATGGGCAAAACCTCCAGGATTGAAGGAGCAGTGTGTAAGATTTAGGGGGATTTAGTGGCATCTAGTGGTGAGGATTGCAGATTGCAACCAGCTGAAACTTCTCTCGGTTAGATTTCCTTTAGTGTTCATTGTTCAGGAGGTTTTTACCAGGAGCCGAAATATCCACAGAGGTCTCTTCCTCTCTAAAACAAACAGACCCAGTGATTTAAACCAGTAAAAACACTGAATACAGCAGTTTCACGTTAAAAAATTTTCATGGTGGAGGGGCTGCTAACTAAGGTGGCTAATGTGGAAATGACCCTATCTAGAGCCAGTGTTCAGTTTTATTTGTTTTGGGCTACTGTAGAAACATGGCGGTGCAACATGGCGATCTCCGTTGACAAGGACCTGCTCCCTATGTAGATATAAACGACTCATTCTTAGGTAACAAAACCCCAACAGGTCTTATTTTCAGGTGATTATACACTAGAGAAAACACACTTATTATATTTAATTTCTGCCACTGTATCCCCCTAAATCCTGCACACTGGACCTTTAAATCCTCTCCACTGCAGCTGCAGCTGAGCTTCAGTTACCTCGTGTACCTCTGCAGAGACCAACAGGCTGGAGTCCATGCTCGCTCAGTTTTCAGTGGGCGTTCAATCACCTCTGTGCTTTTTGATATCTCCTACAGGCCAGGAACAAAACACACTCTCGATGTAACAGCAAGCGACAGGATGAAGAAAAGACTTTTTGATAAAACCAGACAAGCTCCAAGGTGGGATGACAGTAAGATATGGTTCACTCATACCCTGGTATCCAGGCCAAATGTCTGGTAACATCTAGGATTGTGCTGAAAGTGCTATTTTTTTCTTTTTAGAAATGAATCTGTGTATGTACTGGTACACAAAATGTACTTTGTGTGTGTGTGTGTGTGTGTGTGTGTGTGTGCATGTAGGTATGTCAGTACACTGTGCATGTTGGTTCTCCCGACTGGGCTCTCCTCCTAGCTTTGATTTGAACCAACACTTGATAAACTTTCACATGTGAAACATGAGATAATACTGGATTCAGAGTTCAAACACTCAACAACAGATGGGTTGTTTCAGTCCAGGCAGAGAAATGTGGGCTGACTTGGTTTCTTTTTTTTCGGCCCCCAGAGTGCAATCAGTCAGAGAGAATGACCATTAAAAAGAAAGAAAGAAATGAAATCTAGTGGGAAGTTGAAAATTCAAGAGTCAAGCCAACCGTTGTTTCTCTCCGTCTTCAAACGATGGTCCGTTTTGTTTTCATTTGCTCTGTTTTTCAGAAAGTAGAAAATGAGAAAGTGCAGCTGAAGCTCAACACGTCTTGATGCTGTTGTGTTAACAGGTGGGTTTGGGGGTTTTGTCACTGGGTGGGGGCCGGCTTCTAACAGCAACATCTATGTGGTTTTGTGTGTGTGTGTGTGTGTGTGTGTGTGTGTGTGTGTGTGTGTGGCCAGGTCGACCCCCCCCCGGCACCAGTTAGGTTTCTGTAGTCTTTTTTTTTTTCCAAAGTGCCAGGCGTTGTGTCATTGTCTTTGACCTTCTCTCCATCTCTTCTTCACAGTATTTTTTTTGCATGCAGGGTCATTCAACCCCCTATGATGCTTTAAGGCAGGGGAGGGAGACGAGCAGAGGAATCCACCAATCAGGAGGGAGAGCCAAGTGGAGGAGGCAGGCACATACGTAACTGATGATGAGTCCATTGGTCTGTCTTTCTGTCTGTCAGTCTCTTTAATCCTGCCCACCCCAAACCAGGGGGACTTCAAGTTACTGCGAAAGGACGTCCACTGTTGTCCCTCAGACCGCTGACACCTGTTCATCCTCTGTGGACAGAAGAGACAGTGAAAGGTTATATTGAATGCAGACATGTGATGTAGAAACTATATTTTCAAAAGATATAATAGTAGTGAAAAATGTTGACTTCAGTGAAAGCTGAAAACTAAGATGAGCAGCTGCAGCAGTGATAGTTAGGATGAAAACTTGCCTCCTTATGCAACCCTATCGCCAGGATAAATGTTGGCATTGTACGTTTCTTCAAACCACTGATACGTTACATTTGTATGTTATTACGTTGTGGATACGTTGAAACTTTATGTTTCTTTATGTTTCAACAATGCTGTAGTTAACATGGATATGTTCAGGCACAAAAAACACTTTGTTGTGGTTGAGAGAAGATCATGTTTTGGATTAAAATACCAAGTTTTGGTGGCACAACTGTGGCAAGAAACGCAACGATGTCTCTATTAAGACAACCACTTTACGTGGCACTATCACTGAGATCACGGATGCAGCCTTTGTCAATTACGCTCCAAAGCTATGGAACACACTACCTACAAATATCAGGGAAGCTAGCTTGCTAGATATTTTAAAAATAAAGCTTAAAAACACATCTGTTCACTTTAGACTTGAACTACCCTAACTTGATTATATGATTTATAGTTTTACTTGTGTGGAAAACGTGTTTAGTATAAGACAGTTGTTTTGTCAGTGAACCTTGTGAGTTGTAATGGAGCTGAATTTTGTAACGTTACCTTTATTAAATGTTGCTGTTGTCCCTGGCTTTATATGAGTATTGAAAAACATTTGCTAGCCGCTAGGCTAATTTATACAATGTAAAATGCCATAGGCTTGTGCTAAAAACATTAGCATGTTGTATTTGTGGAGAAAATGTGTTCAGATAAAGACAAGTGTTTGTCTGTGAATGCTGCGAGTTATAGTGAAGCTGATTTGGGTACTTGTGTTTGAAACTGTTGATATTAAGCCATGTTTAATGTGTGTTTATGTGTGTTTAATGTGTGTTTAATGTGTGTTTTGTGTCAACTAAACTTTATAGCACTTAATAGAAACCTCACTGCCAATTAGTGTTTTGGAGGTGTAACTGCAGAGTGACACAGACACACCACCGCACAGATATAAATGTTAACAATGGCGTAGGCTCTGCATAGAGCTGGAGCATAAGCATAAATCCCGCTTTACTTACAAATAGTGAAAACTACACACACAATGCAGAAGAAGAAGTTAAGAAAATACAGGCAGTGAGCAGAGTCTCTGCAGATAAATACACCACCACACACTTCTAGTGGGTCGTAAGTGATGAGAGAGAGATTACTTCTGTATGAGTCTGTACATTGTGTTTTAAAATCCTGCACATTATACCTTTAACATGTTTACTAAATCCATTCTCGCTCAGTGTTTGTCTTGAGTTTTTACAAACGATTTTGTACTGAAATGAACAGAAAACAGTGGCTGCCTTGAATGTGGGAAAATAAAAAACTTGCGGTTTGAAAAATTGTTTGTACTTCCTCTTTTTGTCTCTGCATGCTTTCAATATTTTAACTGTATAATTGTTTGTGCTATTTGTGCTACAACTGATGAAAAACAGTCTTTTTAATAACTCTGATCTAACGGCTGATCTAAAAACTCATTTTCAAACTTCAGACCTGATTAGTGTGAAACAATCTTTAAAATCACTGGACAACTGTGTGTAGACAAAGTGCTGCTACAATAACACAGACATCATGTGGAGTCAGTGTAGGCGAGTCAGGTGCGTGCTGGTGCAGGAGGATGGAGGTGCATGTTTTCAGGCATTGACTGCATGGGTGAGAGGATCCTAACGGCACTGCGCCTGCTGATGGATGCTGATCGGCGCAGTGTGTGAGACGGTGAGAGAGGAGAGCAGAATGTGTGGTGGCAGAGAGGTGGTGAGTTTCTGGTCCAACCAGTATGACTCATGCATGATGACATATTGTAGGGTTAAAGGTGAGGGTCCTACTCCAAATGAACAAGTCCCCGATCATAAATACTAAATGTCTGAATTTCAGTTTCTCATCAGGAGCACTGACGGAGGATTGTAATTTGGAGTGGGACCGGTCCTACTGGTGCTGTGGGAAGTTGTGTGAAGGAATGGTCAGTCTCAGTCCAAGTGTGTGTTCCTGTTCACATGCAGGTTCATTGGAGTGGAGGGGGGGGGGGGCAACCTGATAAAGTAGTTTTTACCTGCCTTGGGGAGAGGGGCCCTGCCTGTTAACCCCCGTACACACACTCTCATGGTCTGGGAGTCTCAGGTGTATGCTGTGCCACTGGCTTTGGCTTCCTCAGAGCGATTAGTTTGGAAGACAAGGACTCACCCTCCTCTTCCTCTTCCGCCTCTTGCTCCTCGGCCGGTGAGCGCGTGCGGTGGAGGCCGCCCGCCCGCTGTTTGGCCCCCTGGGAGTCGGGCGACTGGGTGACCATGCGTGAGCGCTGCAGAGCTGTGGTGTAGTCGGGTGGCCGGCGGCCTGAGTGGGTCGCTGTGGACGTGGGAACAGACGGGGCCGGATGCTGCCCTTCAGCGAGGTCGGAGATGGTCAGGGCAGTGTAGCCGGGGGGAGTCGGGGGAGGCTCACGATAACGGCTTTCTTTCCGTGCTGAGGGGACACCAAAAACATGAGGATGAAGATGATGAAGAGACTTGTAAAAACTTTAGGAATACTATTCATTCACTGGGAATCATTAGTGATTATTTCTCTATAAAGTTTTTAGACTGCATTTTTTCCCCTTAATTGATAGAGATGGTGGGAAACAACAGGAAGTAAAGGGCTGAGAGAGGAAGGATTAAAGGGTAACTTCAGCATTCTGCAGCCTGGACCCTTCTGTTCCCATGTTTTCATGCCTAAGTAACTAATGGGAACAACATTTCTGACATTGGTCCAGTACTGAGTAAGACAAAACAGACTGCAACGTAATCTAGCGAGCAACTGAGCATTGTCAATGTACGCCCACTAAAAATGCTTCTGTTTGCTACTGACATGTTCAGATTATTATTCTACGTGTCAGACAACATTATGTAAAGGATCCATGCAGAGATCGACCTTTTTATTTAAGGGTAAGATCCTTTTTGTTAAACTGGAAACAAGCTACTGTCAAACCCACCAGACTCCATTTAAAAAAACGGCAATTCTATCATGGTAAGACACACTGTATTCAAAGTTAACAGAGGCAAAATAAAGCTCACAAAAGCCATGTTGGTTCATTTTTCCACTGTTCCAACAATCACCAACTCTAGTTTGGTTAAAATAAACCCATTAATTGACCCAGTTAGATGTGCAAATATACTGACTCTTTACATGCTAAAAGTACTGATTTTTCAAATGGAGTTTGGTGTGTTTGGCAATAGCGACTTCAAGGCTGTTTCTGATTAAACAAAAAGGAATTTTCTCTTTAATACTAAGGTCTATCTCTGTAGACACTTAGAAATCAATCTGAGCCTGTCAGTGGCAAAAACAACCACTTTTAGTGACACAGATTGTCGCTATAATGCAGTTGGGTTTACTGCTACCGACTGCAGTGGTCTCACTCAAAACTGGAGTGACTGTTTTTCACATTAGTCACTTGACTGGAGAATATCAAAGTTAAACTTTAAATCCAACAAAGGTTACATGTTCAGCAGCTTGAACTCCGAGGCCACTATGATGCACCAGAGGTATCATTTTCGAAAACTCCACTGCATAAAAAATCCACAACACCTTCAACAGTAAGTGAAAACAACTCGTCTGATGTGGGAACTTTTGCTGTTAGAAATTAGATGAGAGGATTAATGCAACTCTCATGTCCACTATGAAGCTAGGGCCAGAAGCAAGTTAGCTTATCTTAGCATAAAGACTGAAAACTGTGTGAAACAGCAGGTCTGGCATGATTCAAAGCTGACAAAATCTGTCTACCAGCCCCTCCTCAGCTCGTTTATACAAAAACTGAAGTGTATAAAAGACAAGTCGTGGTTTCATGAGAGATTATGCGACTTCCTGTTGTATTTTCTCATGTGATAAAAATGTTTTGCCCTAACAAGTATGACTGAATATGTTTCCTATAAACACTTGAACAATCAGCAACAGGACTGTGATGTTCAGTCACTCACAAATGAGGCCTTTACCCCCGGCGGTGATGGGTGATGGGGAGGGCCGGCTGAGCTGCTTGGCCTCCTCTGACCCGGTGGATGTGATGCTACTTGTTTCTGGGTCGGCGTTGACGTCCTTCCCTCCTCTCCTCTTAATGGTGCCAGTGTCTCCCTCAGAGTCCTCTCCCCAGTACGCAGCTGAGGATGAGGAGGAGCTTGCGGACGCCCAGCTCCCCCTGGCCTGGGCTGCCCACAGTGCAGCGGGCCCCCCTAATAAGGCCTCAGGTCCACCAGGAGGGAGCCCTCCGATGACTCCTCCGCCTCCGCCTCCACCGAATGCCAGAGTCTCCCAGCTGCGTCCCTGCTGCATGGTCTGGATGTTGTCGTGGGATCCAGAGGAGCAGGAAGTCCAGGAGCCGCGGCCGCTGTCTGCAGCATCAAGGGAAACGCGATCGCCCTGATCCTGAGTCAGCTCCTCTGAGCTGGGTGAGGAGAGCACTGTAGGGCAGCCGGTGTAAATGCCCCGGCAGTCCTGCATCGACGAATATGACCTATGAAATGATAAAAACGAAGAAAGCTTACTCAAGCTTGAAGGTCAGGTAAATAAAAAGAGAACAACCTACTGGCGTTCTTAGTGTTCCTACCCGAGGCTGTACTGGTCGGGGTCGGTTGTGGCTCTTCGTTCTAGCCGCTGTCCTCCGATGTGAGATTCCCCGACTCCTCCAGAGTGACGCAGTCTCCTCTCCTCCTGGGCCATGTCGAAAGAGGAGTTACTGACGAGGCTGGAGCGCGAGGAGATCTCACTGTGACCGGAGTCCGAGTAGGCGTCTCCCATTCTATTGTAACCTGGAGGAGAGAAGAAGAAATTAACTGTTACAAACGCCTAACTTGGCATGATAACCTCACTCCTCTTCATTTGCTTTTGTTGCAAAAATCAAACCTGACAGATTAAATTTAAATCCCTATAAAGAAAAGGATGATAAAGCCCTAACACGGCCCCCTGCATGCCGCCTGGCTCTCAGCTACGTTCCAACACAAACCTCCAAACATCAAAATAACTTATGGAGGGTCAGCTTTCACCATAAATCATGAGTAATTCACATATCTTATCTCAGTCAGTCTTTTTAAGAGAGGCATCACACACAGACTGCGGGGATAATTGTAGAGTGCCACTTCCAAGTAAGCCGACCAACTCTTTAGGGATAAGTGCATTAGATTCTTACTGAAGCAGCAGTTTGCTACGACATTCGGGGTTTCAGCACGGCTCTGAAGAGTGTGGAAAAGTTTAGATAATAAGCGTGAAGGGACTGGGAATTGCATAAAGTCGGGGGAAGTATAGAGAAATCACTGGTTATGAGTGCTGACACATGTAAGTACATGTTTTCTAGTTATAGGCGACTGTCAGCGTGGTATTTAACGTAGCTCGGCTATACAGTTGAACAGCCTGGTGGTTGTATTCCCCAGCCACCATCAGCATAAATCACCTCAATAACCTCTTAAATCCTGTGTGTACTTTAAAGTCTGCAGACAGGAGGGAATGTTTAAATACTTTTTAGGAAGCTTTGACCGTAAAGATGTGGAGCAAACATGAGTCAGATAAAGTGCAGACAGATCAGGATTAGCCATTACTAAGTGATGTAACGATTAAGCTCAGGCCGAAAGGGAGACAAACAGACTCACGGGAGCCTTCAGGTTCCACCAGCGACAAAAACAGTTTCGAAGTTAATTTAAGAACCAGACAAAGACAACAGATGTCTCTCTGTAAAGCCTGTGGTCCACTGTCAAACTATCTAGTCCAGCAGCTTCAACAGCCTCACACAGCTGCATGAAGACGAAGTTACATGTTCAAATGACAATGGAAATACATGTGTGAAGTATTCCTTTGCTCAGACCTTTCATCCTTAAAAGTATTGTTTTTAACTTTTCTATTTATCGTACTTCCTGTTTGTTACCATGTTCTTATGTCTATGATGGTTTTATTGTCAGTATGTTGTGTTTAACGTCATCCTGTCTGCCACAGTGTGTCAAATGATGTGCTAGTACCACCCCTAACAACAGCTGGAAGCGTCGTGCTGTAGCGCTTCAACAGAAGACCACACACAACTACCACTATTTTTCACAAAAAGATCTGTACTTCTTCCACCTATGAATTAGCTTGCAATAATGTGGATACCCAATAGTTAAACTTGATTTCCCAGCTGGGAAGCTAATCTTCAGGCAATATCTATTATATTATTATAATGATGGGATTGTGTGTTCAGGATATATCTCAGCTTCAGCAACTAATCTCTCTTCATCCATTCCACGGGACAAAGCGACAGCAAGAGGAGTCGAGCTGCTACGGGAGCAGAGAAGAAGAGCTGCTAAAGGAGCCAGGATGGAGAAGCTAGAAAGAGGGTAGGAGTAGCATGAACTGTTGGCATCCACGAGCGCTGACACACACCTAGCTGCCGGCAGTGTGGGGTTATACATAGAAAATAACAGGGGCGGCTGTTTTGACATGTGCCATTTGGCGCCGTTGTGTTTCGCCTTTAACTCAGGTTGTTGGGGAAAATTGAGTTGTTTTTTACCAGTTGTCAAAGCAGTGTGTGACGAACACACAGAAGAAGAGCTGTTTAACCACCAACAGCCACCATGGCTGAACATCTAAAAAAATAGATCACTGGGTCAACCAAACATCTTTACAAAATTTAACAAACAGCAGTGGCTCCCAGGAAATGCAGGTTAAAGGCATTACAGCGATGAGCTACTGAGATGTTGCCAAAATCCTAAAATCCAGAGCTGTTGGCATTACAACTTAAAGCACAGGGTTTATGGCATACAGATTCTTAAACTACATTTAGTGCTCCTGACTGCAGATTCATTAGTTCGGCTCATCATCAGACCAGCACCAGTTGACCTGTGGCTGCAGTAGTTTAAAAGGGAAACACACATTTCTGACTCTGCGGCCTGGCCGGACGGATGGGACAGGACGAATAAAAACAACATTTCATAGACTGAAGTGCAGTGGGAATACAGTGGCCTCGGCGTGGCTTCACATTTTAGTTTGTTATTGTCTTATCCCTGACAACGACCACAGGACAAATCTTTGCCAACTGCTCTGAAGATGCAAAGAAAATCTTCCATCCAAGGTAACAAAACATGGCACTGAAGTATCTTGGTCTCATTTAGGAGGAGAAATCCATATCTGAGACATGACGCAATGCATGGTGGCAGCCACCAGGTGGCATTTGTGGCACATGGTGACAGAGAGAAGGAGCCTGGAGATGGTGTGGGAGGGAGGGAGGATTATTGGCTTACCCTTCTTGGGTGAGCTCTGGGGGGAGGTGGGAGGGGAGGAGAGCTGGGAGGAGGCGTTGGACACAGTGTCCTCTGGCTGCCTCCGGTGCCTTTCGTTCCCCTCCTCTGACAGAGACAGGATCTTCTTCAGAGACTGAGGGGAACTGGTGCCTGTGGACATTTACAAGAAGATGAGCAGAATTAGCATCAGGAACGCTGCCATTTCCCCCCGAGGGGGCCGGGATGCTAAACTGCATTGTCTGGGATTTTTTTTTTTCCTTGCTGTAAATGCTTGTTGTCAGACAGCCTCTAGGTGGCAGCACTGTCATAAAGAAGCTGGGAAAGGGCTTGCTCTGCTATTGTCTGCAAATAACAGGATGAGGAAGAGAAAACAGGGCAATGGTGGCACGAAGAAGTCCGAGTGAGCATGAGATTCGTTCAGGCTTATTTTCACTTAATCCTTAACAACACTGTTGTACAATACTATCAGTGAGAGAATAATATGTTTATCTTTTAGTAGGGACAAGTTAATACGGTAACAGTAGCTTTGACTCAGATTTCAGCTTAAAAATGACATGACATGTCCCTCACAGTAAAACACGAGGGAATGTATACATGCAGTTTGCTTTACTAAACAGGATTTATACACTTTTCTCATTACAAATAGCTTCATTAGGTGTTTTCAGACCAAACACTTTGGGGCTCTCTGAGACAAACTGTCCACTGAGGAGCTCCCCCGAGACCGCATACCTTTAAGTCACCTTTGTTGTCTGTTTGCATTTGCACCGCCAATAGTGACATACTGTAAACTGGCTGGCGGTTGGTATAGCGCTGTTCCTTTTGCTTTGATGAGTCAAAATCACTTTGCATTTCTACTGTTACATATATGCTCAGTAAAGCCTGGACTTCACTGTCGGCCCATCTGTCCATGTTTTGTTTCTCCATTTCCTTTGATACGAGCTGTATTTGTGTTTTGTGTATTTCTAACACATCTGAACCAATCACTGACCAATTATGTCACTGTTGGTTTCTCTTATGTTGGGAGAATGCCTCCTAGGGATGCACGATATATATCAGACTGATGACTTATTGGCTGATGATGGAACATTTTTCTAATTGTGCATTATTCCGATAATTACAATTATAGCTGTAAATTGCGCCGGTTATATGAAGCCAGGTTGCTTTCATTAGCTTAACAAGAGCAAGAAGAAGGACTGTAGCAGGCAGTCTAGAGGGCAAAACAAGTCGGGGTGTGGACGTCTTTCACAGTTCCAGAGAAAGACAACAGGATTCCGCCGAAGAGGTTGATCACCGACCGCCTGACACAGGTTAGAGGCAGCGCTGAAGGCTGAAGGACCGTCTCCAGAGTGCAATAGTAATGTTAGCTTGATAAGTTCAGTCAGAGCTATGAAATATTAAATCATCCATATTTTCTCACTACATCGTAACCTTTCTTTCCCTCAGGTGTACATAAACTACAGGTTATACACTTCTTTCTACGGTAGAAAAATGTGAAATTATTGGTTATCGTATCGGTTGAAAAAATCGGTGCATCCCTAATAGCTACTCTGAAAAAGGGGCTAAAAAAGTCCTTCTAAACTGCATTCTAAGAACTACGATTGTTCCTTGTTCTTACAGCGGAGACAAAATAAAAGGGGGGTTCTTAGAAATGTGAAAATGTTCTTCCTATCCGAAAAACACCTGATGTTGCCAAAACTTTTTAAATACAATAAAACATATAAATGTATAAGAAATGTATGATCTTGAAGTACTGGTTGTATGTATTTATTCGAACTTACAAATGTCTCTATTCCTAATTCATAAAGCTTGATGTCAATCTTACCGAAAGGCGGCAGGTCCTTGACTGGCACTTTCTTTCGAGATGGGTACAGGGCCACGGCGGGGACCTGGAGGGCCTGGTTACCTTTGGCCAACTGGCCCCTCTGTTGGCTGGCAGCTCTGGACACGACCGGGGAGGTGTCTGGTCGTTTCCCACCGGCATTCTTGGGCACTGAGTAGGGTGAGACATTATGACCACGAGGTTTATATTTGAGATTTGAACTGCGTATGTTACAGGACTAATGAGAAGCAGGAATTTGCTGCATGGTTTCGGAACTGATGTTTAAAACTGTCTGTGAGCACTTGTTCTCTCCTTCTGTCTATCAGTGCAGTATCAGCAAGTGAAGTTGGCATTAATAGTGGGAAACAGGCCGGGAGATTCAGTCATTTGTATTCACTGCCAGTGAGTCTTAAAGCAAGACTGAGTGTCTCGTTACTTCAGTGGTCCCACCCTGTCTGTCTGCTATGAATCCTGGGAACATGCATGTGTCTCCAGAGAAATATGCAGTTAAACAAAATCAAGAATGTTGAACTCTAATTATGTTCTTGAAAGGATTGCTCTGTGGGGAGACGAGACAGTATGGGTTCATCTTATACATTACACTCATATTTCATATTAGATTTCTAAGAACGGCTGCATCGTTTAAGCATCTGTGTGTGTGCTGAGTTGTGTCACAGACTCACATGTGCTGATGGAGGGTTCACACTGCAGCGAGAGCGTCTGCAGACTCTCCTCGTTTGTTTCTAGACTGAGGTTGGAAAGGTACTGTTTGACCTTCCTGGCCATCTGGGCGTCCTCGTAAAGCTTTTTGGCGTTCAGGAAGGAGCTGCGTCGCACCCTCTTCTTGTGCCCGCCTGTCTGGGTGACATCGAGCACCGCCGCATTGGCACTGCCCTGGCTTAGAGACCTGAACGCACACGTAGGCACCCACAGAGAAACATGCACATGAGAGGAACAGAGATGTGCAGGCACGAACACAGACAAAGACGCACAAAAACAAAAAGAAAGGACAGAGAAAGACTTATTAGCATTTAGCTTCAGTGTGTAAATAAGCCTGTAAGCACTACATGGCTTCACAGAGAGCCTGGTGTGTAAACTTGTACATGCACAGAGCAGCTTTAGGTATTTCTCTCAACTCCAAAACATTCCAGTCATTCCAGACAGCAGAGGGGGGTGAGGGTTGATGGCTGTAGTCAAACAACAGGGGAGTAAAAAGGGGGGAGCTCTACGAGTGTAGCACAGTCATAGTTTACATTTCTGTGGCTTGAGTCAGAGCTCGTAGTAGCAGTGGTAGTAAAAGCTTTGCTCGCACATGGTCTCGGCCAAATTATACACAAACAGTGTTAGTCAATGAGAAGTCACGTCTGTTCTCGTTAGTGAGAACATATTTATGGGCTTTCACTTCCAAAAGGTATTTCTAACATGTGTGATTAAGAGAATGTACAGTTTCTGTTGTGTATGTATAGATGCTCAAAAAAAAAATCTTGTAAGTACTACTTTCACATCTTGTAATTATAACTTAGCACCTCATATTCCCAAGATTAAGATCTCATAATTACAAGTAAAACTCTCACAATTACGAGATACAGATCTAGTAATTCCAACATGGCTGTCTCATAATTACAGGACGCTAAGTCATAATTACGAGACGCAGAATTCATAATTACCAGAAAACTTTTTCTTGATGCGAACGCAGCATGCCTCTATATGTTTCACACTACATGTTGTATGCACAGTGATGTCCCATTTGACCACAAAAATGTAAAGCATGATTTAAAAAAGGACTTCATATCCAGAATCTCTGTTTGTCTGGAGCTTTGACTTAAAGATAAAACCTCAAAGACAGGTGAAGTTCTGAAACTGAAGCTGCATGCATATTGTTAGATAAAACATGTCAAAAAGAAGGTCACATTTGCTAATGAGGCTGCAATCTGACATCAGTGTGTTTAGGATGTGTGTATTAGTTTTTGTCTAATTCATGACGTAAGCGAAAGAGCTACATTTTCATGTTAAAGGGATAGTTCACCCCAAAATGTGTTGTAGTGCTGTAGTGCTGTTTATCAGTGTAGATTGTTTTGGTGTGAGCTGCAGAGTGTCGGAGATATCAGCTGTAGAGACGTCTGCCTTCTCTCCAATATAATGGAACTAGATGACACTCAGCTTGTGGTGCTCAAAGCGCCAAAAAAATACATTTGAAAAACTCAGCATCAATGTCTCTTGGCAGAAATCATGACCTGGTACTCAAGATAATCGACAGACCTTGTTGTGAGCAGTTTCATGTAGGAACTATTTTCTTTCTACCGCACTACACCAGCCAACTGTATCACTGCACAGAAGGAAGTGTGCATCTACTGCTAGCTCACCTAGCACCACTGAGTTAGCAAACATTACAGCTCAGCTGTAGGACGCCTTAATGTTTACGTCTCGCACTGTCATGGGCACGAGCCTCTTGTCCATGAGTAGATGCACTCTTCCTTCTGTATGGTGATACAGTTGGCGGGTGTAGTTCGGTAGAAAAGAAATAGTTCCTACATGAAACTGCTCACAACAAGGTCTGTGGATTATCTTGAATTACTGGGTTGTGATTTCTGGTAAGACACATTGCTGTTGTGTTTTTTCAATGCATTTTTGTCTCTTTGAGCACCACAAACCGAGTGCCATCTAGTTCCATTATATTGGAGAGACGGCGGACAACTCTACGGCTGATATCTCCAACACTGCACCTCACACCAAAACTATCTAGACTGATAAATAGCACTACAGGTAAGAGTAAAAATTAGGGCTGTCAATTGATTAAAATATTTCATCGCGATTAATCACACATTTTTTTTATCTGTCGTAAATAAACCTTAAAGGTGTGTTTTTTAAGTTTTTAATGATCTTATCAACGTATCATACTGTCCAGAACATTCCCCAGAATAACCTCAAAGGTAAAGCATGCTCAAAAAATATGCTGAAAGTACACCATGGCAAACTCTATCCCAACAAGCAACAACAGGCGGACATATTGACCTGATTGTAACATTACTTAGTAATATTAACACAATGTAGTGTCCAACTTGTAAAGGTCAACAAAACATCCCGTTTTTTAAGCAGCTCGACGTACTTGGCTGGTAACTCACTTCACATCGACAGTAAATGAAATAACTTTGGTCTTGTCGAGAGAAACATTTGGCTTTGAAACTAAACTTGCCATTCAAAAGACCACTTTCTTTATCAATTTCTGCTCACGGAGGTTTGTTTCTGCTTGCCATTCACAATGTTACCACTGCATTGCGTCCTGATTTCCAAAACTACGGGGTGGGCTGAGGGTCATAATTATAAACAGGTACGTGTGTTAATTGCCCGTCAAAAAATTACTTTGACAGCCCTAGTAAAAAAATATGTATTTTCGATTTTGGGGTGAACTGTTCCTTTAAGATTACAGAATGTAAAATAATCCAGTGTAACCTGATGTTAGCACACATGACCTTTGTGTCATTCAACGCCCTTTGGTTAGGGTCAGGCAGTGTTAGTGGGAGGATTCAACTCAAACTGGTAAACGGAAACAAGCTTTCAGGAAAGAAGAAAAGAAGCACACACATTGGCAGAAAAAGGGGCTGCGGTGCAGGGAGTGCAAAAGGTCGTAGGGGTCACCAAACTTACCCTAAACTTCTCCACTTCTTCTTCCTAGAGGGCGGGTGCCATGAACAGAGAAGCACGGAGGGCAAAGGGTGGATGAGTAGAGAGAGAAAGAGACAAAGCTTAGGACAGGAAAGATCACCAAGATCACCAAAAGAGAAGCAAATTTCACCAAAGAGACCCACGTGAGAGTCAAAGAGGGGAGGAAATCAAATGGCAACACCACTAAGATGTGACATCATTAGACAAAGACACACTTTCACAGGAGCACTGTGCACATTTTATGCCAACAATGTGTATAGGGAAACAGTTGCCAGAGGAAACAGTTGCCAGAGGGAACAGCTGCTTGAAAGAAAAAGCGTGATGCAGGAATCTTTGCTGAATCTATGTGAACCGGCTAACCCCACAGAGTCTGGTTAGTCAGTAGAGAGCTGACTGGTCCTACAGAGAGGGTGAAGGATCGGTTTAAATCTGAGATCTGGTTCTGTTTCGGAGAGGTGTCTTACCTGGTCCGGAACATCAGGGCTGGGTCCATGTTAACGGAGGCCATGCGACCAACATGGCGAATTTCTTTGGCAATCATCCTCAGCTTTTCAAAGTTGACCAGGCCGTCCACCTTAGAGTCGTTGCCTGAGAGATGAGGGAAGAAAGAAAGAGAACACCAATGACTCAAACATTTTACAGCTGACAAAACTAATACTGATCAGGAGGGCTGAAGGAATGAGTCCTGCAACCTGGTTTCCTCATCTTGAACTCAGTGGGTTTTTGATTAGATGCCTGAATTAAGGTCTAAAGAGAGTCCAAAAGCAAACAAGTGGAGTGTCAGATTTTTTTAAGCATTATGTCCGCTTGATGCCAATGATTTTGGGGGTAAAATAACCCACATAAAAGGTCACTAAATGACAGTATTATGATTTATCTTTCTGTTGTGCAGTTTGGCTAGCTAGCCGTACAAAAAAATGTACCACTACCAATCAGTCAACAATGGTTTGAATCTCAAATGTGTCATTTCTGAATTAATGTATTTCATGGCTACGAAAACTATCATATTTGAAACTGATTTTCAGTTACCTTCATGTAGGAAGGTGAGGTCCTTCTTGATGACGGGGAACAGGGGGATGATTGGTGGCTGGAGGTTCTGATTGTTGAGGACATTCCTGTACTTGGCCATATTCCTAGAGGGGTCGAAGAGGTCCTGCAGGTCCCCGAACAGCTTCTCGTACTTGCTAGGTAGCTTCTCCCATGTTCCCCTCAGTCTGGAGACTGGAGCCAGGTTCAGACCACTGTGAGGGGGTTGGAGGGGGGGGGGGGGGGGGATTAAGCATGTGAAAATAGTCCATTTATGCTTATGCAACACAATGGCAAGTTCACTACACATATATTATTTCATGTCTCACCTGATGATGGCGAACATGGAGTTGAAGTTCTTGCACTCGCGGCAGTGCAGCGCGATCTTGATGAAGTGCTTGACAGTCTTCATGCGTTTGAGCTGGTTGGGCTCCCGCGTCACCTCCGTGGCCACCCAGAAGGTCTCGTGGTTGATGGCCTCCTCAAAGCGCTTCAGGCTGGCCGAGCCCGTCTTGGAGCGCAGCTTGAAGAGATCGTCGATGTATTCGGTGGGCTCGATGGCGCAGAAGAGTTCAAAGGCCCGCATGGAGAGCTGAGTGGCGACCTCCACCGTGCTGAGCTGTAACAAAGAGATCTGGCCCTCTCGCAAGAGGTCCTGAGCGTCCTCGTCTGAACATAACGTCTCGGTCTCCATGTTGCTCTTTAGGTAGTATCTGATGATAGAGGAGAATGTGGGGTTTGTTTTACTTTTCTTTCAGTGTTGAAATGACAATTAACTGAAAAACAACTATTTCAATAACAGATTAATCACTTAAATCAAGCAACAATAGCAAACACTTGCTGGTTTCAGCTTTTCTAATTAGAGGATTTAGCTTTTGTCTCTATTTAACATCATTGTAAAAATGAAAACAATTTGATTTTTGAGTGTTAGCTGCACAAAAGAAGCAATTTAGAACCTTCACTTTGAGTTCCTGATAAATTTAAGTGCTGTTTCTGCCATTTTACTGACTAAAGGATCATTTGAGGGAAAATAATTGGTAACCACAGCCCTAATTTATTCTTATTTGACCTTTATGTAACCTGGACGGTCTCTTAAGGTTCAAAATCTGTTGTATCAGAGTCCTGGGCAAAAATGGAGGACAATTATTCTCCAACATCAACATTCATGTGAAGAACAATAAGGATGGAAGGGAAAACAATCTGGACGACAAAAAGGTGGCAAATCCGACTACAGATGTAATTACCTGCCACTCAGTTGAATCCTGTCGGCTAGTTTAGACAGCTGATCTGGTAACCGCCTCTGTTTGATGACGCCTTCTGGCGTGACGGATACTTCACACAGAGAATAAGCTTCTGGTGCAGCAGTCAGGGCAAACTCCCTGATAGCTTGAGCCACCACCTCCTTGGCCGTCGTGTCCTTCCCGATCATGATGTATCGAGACTGCTGGTCTGCTTTGAAGACTCGTAATACCTGGTCCGACATATCTGGGGACAAACAGAACACACAGTGAGGATTAATGTTTTCTTATCAGTGTCGTTTTTACTGTGAGTTGTCTGAAGCTTTTGCAAATAACACCAATGATTGTTTGCTGCTTCCCAAGATTTATTAAGAGCCATTCCATCTTTCCACCAGCATCTTTGTGACGTCACCCGCAAACCCCATTGCCCATCATTTATTAGTTTGATCAGAGACACAGCCCCACCAATCATACGACCAAAAAAAAATCAAACAAAATCAATACCCATGTGCCCTCGGAAAAATTAAAAGGCCAACAGTCTGTTAGCTTTACTCAATCAGCGTCCACAAGCAGATTAACTGAGTTTATGTTACGTGTACAAACTACAGTACAGCAGCTGATTAAGGTCTGTGAGTCTGACAGCATCGACAAAGACGTGACTGTGTCGGGAGAAGCAGGATCACAGGAAGAGGAGATACTTACTCAGTATGACTGGGACTGGAAGAACACAAACAACATGTGGTGGACAGGAGTTAATGACGATAGAAATGTGTCTCAGTTATAGAGTAACAAAATTCTTGGTAGGGTTGGATGATGTGAGATGAGAAATTCTGTCTCACTGTTTAAATAGATATCCCTTCATTATCTCCGGCTGTATTAGTGTATTGCAGCCAATGTGCAGGACTTCTGTACAGCAAGGATTTACAGAATAGTTGCCCTATATCAGGTGTTGCATTACGCCCAAACACAGGAATCTATATCTGGTTATTTTATCTTCAAACTGTATCAATGAAGTTCAAGTTCAGTTCATGCTTGCCCTTGTAAACAGCAGTTGACAAATAATTTCAGCTCAAGGTCTGTGTGGTTCAAGAGGACCTTAAAGTGCTCCAAAAGAAAGTTATAATTTAATAGCTACAACTGGGCAAACTCCATCTGCTGCTGAAGGTCATGTTATATGAGTGTTTCTAAATTGAATTTCCAGAAAATGAACCGTATCACAGTCTCTCCCAGTATCATGATATAACATCGCACAGTTTGAGATTGGTTCTCTGTTACCCCCTTAAAGGAATGGTACTCTATCACATCACTTTTCAGGTTCCTTTATATTACAAAATCAAACTTCTAAAAACAAATTTTTCATTTTAATCACAGTCATAGTCATAATTTTTAGATCTTATTTGCAAATTATGACTAAATTTAAAGTGATCTGTTGCTACAAACTCCCTGTCTCGCACTTTGATACACACCAGGCTGGTTGTTGAAGTCGAGGATGCGGTGGTGAGACTGCAGGAGGTCCGGGTTTGACGACGAGAGGTTCCCACTAACGGGCAGAGCTGGTGCGATCTGTTTGGACTGCTTCATCCCCACAATGCTGTCGTCCTGCGATTGGCCCACGCAAACGTCACTATGGAAACAAGAGGGAGAGCATTGGGGAGGGGTGAGACGGCAGTTCTGTCAACCAAAGGCAGGGGGCGAATTTAGTGTTGGCATGAGAGGGGAGCTGTGGACGCCTCTGGCTGTTCAATCCATTAATTACAGTCTGGAAGAATTACACCACATTTTACACCCAGTGCTGGGTGATTGGTGCTATGACAGGTTCAGTTTAGGGTCAGTGAACAGAAATATCAATCTGAAAGCTCAACCAGGTGTTAGATCATTAAAATAAAATGAGAAAATTAACAAACATGCTTTTAACTTGTAATTTGCCTCGGTTCCCTCAGTAAGTCATTTTCAGCTGTGGGCTGCACTTGTGTCAGAGCGAGAGGTGGGCACGAGTACTCGATGTGGACGTCAGTGTCCGTTAAATATCTGCACAGAGCCACAAAACAAAAATGATTTATCTGCACAGCTGAATTAAGTTTACTTGATGTGACATTACAGGCAAAATGGCGACCAGAAATAGGAGCAATGTTTGGAAATATTTCTACAAATTAAACGAAATGAATGTGTAGTGCAAGCTATTGTGTATCATAGTTAATGTCTACGGTATGTGCAGGCTAACCCTCACCCACATTTCTGCTTGGGTGCTCATTTTCCTGCAGCATTTTACAGTGGAGGTGCCATGCCTTACCATTAAATATAATATTAGGCTTATTAAGCTTCTGGGAGGAGCAGCACGACCACACACAGCAGAGGTCACATATTTCATTAATGAAGCGACTGTTTAAACCTTCGTTGACACTGATAACGAGATGAGATGCATCAACATCTGTCTGATTCAGCTCAGCAGGTCACTGATTGATCGATGACACTGTACGTTAGCTTGGCATAAATCAATCAGGGCAGTAATGTCATGAGAAAAGAAAACTTTCAGAGATTTAACAATCTGGGAAAAGTGGAGACAAACAGCCCAATCAGTCACAATCAGATGGGGATGTGTGGATCACTGCTTCCTCTCTGCACACGGCACAGCATTAATCAAAACTTGCACGCAAAACACAAACTGTCTCTGACTCACTGTCGTCACATTCTTCTCTCTCTCTCATGTGCGTTAAGCATCCGTCTGATAAATAATCACAGACATGCTAGTTTGGTGAATAATCAGCTGAGAGCAGTTTGCTGAAACCAAACATGATTATAGGGCATTAAAATTTAAAACCTCAAACATTTACCTCTCAATGCCAGCGAGAACTGTCAACACTGAAAGCTATCAGTGCAGCTTTTACAGTTTAATATAATTATTCTCTTGCTAATGAGAGTTACTGTCCACATGTTATTATATGTTATTACTTGTATGGTTTAGGAGGCAGGATGCTGGTGAGCGTCTTGTCGAAGATCTTCTTCAGCTTGTTGCGTCCTCCCACTGTGTTGGTCTTCGCTTTCTTGCTGACCTTCTCCAGGCCCATCACCTGCTCCACGTCCACCGCCAGGTCGGGGATGGAGTAGCGGCTGGCCTTCTTGATGTCGCCGATCTTTGGAAGGTGGGGTGCGCCGTTCTTTCGGTCATGTTCTTCCTCACCGTCCAAGTCGTGGTCGTGCTCTGGCCTTGTTAGCAGCTCTTTAAACACTGGATGAAATGAGGGAGGGTACAAACATTTGGTTAAGGGGTGAGACACATTGTTTTTCGTAAATGAAAACACTGTAATGGCTATCATTGTCCCTCTTTTGTAAATAACAGGACCCTGAGTCTATCTTGGTTTTAATCACAACTCTTTTGGTTTGTGACCTCTTAAGATGAATCAAAGTCAACTTTCGAACCCTCTTCGCTGGTTGCACGTATCCGACAGTTGTGACTTAGTATTTCTAAACTTGAATTTCTATTAAATCATGCATGAATTTAAAAGAAAAGAGCAAAGTTTTTAGAACAGTCAGGAAAATAAGAATAATTCTGTGTCACAGAAATAGTTTCTTCTTGTTTTCCTTTCATGTTAATCATCTCACAACCCCTCACCACCAACCCTATGTCTCTCAAACTGCTAACAAGATTTGTCTGATAAATATGACGACTTTACCTAAAAGATTTGTTTTCACAGTTATGGACAAGTGGGTGTTGTTCTTCAGAATCTCGTTGGCTTTGCTGAGCTGGACATTCTCAAAGTTCTGCCCATTGACCTCCAAGATCTGCAGAGAGAGGAAGGAAGAAATATATTAGATGCATTTTACAGAACTGCTCATGACTTCCGTGCCTTCCCAATTCAAGACACTCTGCTTTTCTATCTTTGTCTCAGTAAAACAAAAGTACTGAGGCAGGTGGACACTCCCTGATAACAATAACCCACATCTAAAGCTACGACTACCTGATTCAAAGTGATGCAAGTGGATTAAGAGTCAAATTTCTGCTCTAGCGAGCAAGAAAAACCTGCTGGTAAACTACTCAGTGTCTTTTCTGCCTCAGTTGCCACCTTGTCATGTCAAACTGCACGCCATATCGGATTTGCGCAGAAATGTGTTGAACCTTGAACTCATCTACATAAATGTCGCAGGTAATGAATGATCTCTGAACTCCACATTTCATCCAGTGAACAAAGAGGCAATAAACGCAGATCCTCTGGCATGTTTCACATCATGACATTTAGTGCAACACATGGTTTTGACATTAATGGGGCCCGTGTCGTCTGTAAATTGTCTTAACAGCTTAACCTCTGCATATGGGCCGGATATTTGCATTTAAACAGGATATGCTAACCAGCCTCTGCCACTTCCTCTTTAGTGGAAGAGGAAGTCACCTTTGACTATAATGTACGTACAGGCCATCCTCTGCTGCTGTGAGCCCAGGAAACACTGACTTAGAAGACCAAATGTCTGTTTTGGGATCAGCTGCGATTAGTGAGATGTTTAGTACTTGGCAACTACTGCTAATGGTGCAATGATGAAAGAAATGGGACTGATACTGGAGCTCTAAAATGATAGATCCCTCATAAATGATGATCGTAACCGAAGCTGTTAAAATTGGGAAGGTGTGAGCGGGTATGAGAGAGTGAATGCTTCCAAGGATGTCAGCTTCTCCGCTTCCTTTTGGGGGAAACAGCTGCAGGGGATGTTTGGAGTCAAGAGGGCTTAACTCGCATCCAGACACTCTCAAGATGGTTTCAAGGATTAAGTGACTTTGCTTAAAGCCCCGAAGACTGCCGAGTGTGAAAATGGTTGAGAAGTTGAGTTGCGAGGAGAAAGCCAACACAGGGCGCCCGCAGCTACTGGCAAGTTCAATTTAAGACTTCTTTAAAAAAACCCTTTTAATGCTGGTTAGAGCAAAATGTAAAACCAATTTCACAACAAAAATGAAGTTCCAACACGAGAAAAAAGATCAATTCTAGTGCTGGTCTGTGTGACAGAAGCGATTTCTACTGTAGCTTACAGACAAAAAAAACTTGTACAACTTGAAGGCTACGTGCAGCTGAATTTACAGTTTTCCTTCCTACAGTTCAAAAGGAAACCCCAACGTTTGACAATCAGCAGACACTTTTTTACTGCAGACACGATGCATGCTGTCTCACATATGAAATGTTAGATATCTTACCTGATCTCCACGCTTAAGGCCGACTTCTGCTGCCTTGCTCCCAGGCTCCACGGCATCAATGAAGATGCGAAAACCTTTCTCCTGACCTCCGAGGAGGCTGAAGGCCAGAGGAGAGTCCCTGGACGGCTTGGTCAGCGTCACCATCCGCGGCTTGGCTTTAGCAGCACACGCTATATTTAACAGTCTGAGGTGCCCACACATTTTCTGGATTAAAAACAAAAGACACAGATGTGAGGAAAGTGCGATAAATGGCATTCACATGACACATACTTTGCACGCGAATAATACATGTGTGAGTTGTTACGCTTACTTCTTTCTCCAGATTGTTTTCAAACTCCTCCAGAAAGTGAGTCATGGCAGGGTCACCCTCAAAGTCATTGAAGTGATTGTTTACCCACAGCAAGACTACCCGTGTAACCTGGAGTGACATCACATGATCAGCACGGGTCAATATACAAGTTTCTGGTTCACTAGTAGTGCACGTATTATGTGGTTTACATCCTGACCTCAAATGTCTTTGAGCTAAGGGGAAATCTCTGCTTAAGGGTGTTTGAGTGCCCCACGAGTAGAAGTACATGTTTCAGTTTCTGCCTCTGACTAATATTTGAATTATTTCGTCTGTTCATGCAGATACACAGTGATCATACTCTCGTACCTTGTCCCTGAGACTGGGGTCGTGGAACCACTCCAGAAGCTTCTTGCCCACGACCATGGGGCTGGAGAGGAAGGTCCTGTATGTCAACAGGAAGTCCTCGATGTAGGTGGGTTCCACCACTGAGTGTTCCTCCACCAGGTGCATGGTGAGACGCTCCGGTGTCCCCTGAGGTATAAAACGACGGTGTTATTTGTTTAAAATCATGCAACAAGATTGGCCTAAAAAGATCTGTTAAAATATGTAATCATTTGACTGTCTGTTCTGTGACCCTGCTCGTTTTGTAAAATGTAAATTGACTGAGAGCTGATTTGTCACCTTGATGACGATGTGTCCTTTCCTGGTACCGGTGCGGTCCAGTTCACGGTGTTCCTTCACCATAACGATCTCCCCTTCCTCCTCCACCTTCTGCATGTTCTTCTCCACCTGGTTGAGGATGCAGCAGTAGTCCTGCTGGGCTATACACACGAACTGGACAAGATGGGATAAAACAAAAGTTAGAGGCAGGCCTGACACAAATATATTTATCCGATATGTTTTACAGCTACAAGTATTTTAAACATGTATGATAATTCTGTTACTGGATCTAGAGGTCTTTAAGAGTCTACTCGAGGACCCGAGACCTGACCTGGGACCTGTAAGGGATCAGATCCACATTTTACAGTCAGTTACCATTCTTTTACCAAAGGTCCCAGGTCTGTTCATCAACTGTTTATCATCAGTAGAGTTGTGATCAGCGCTGATCAGGAAACACATAAGCCTGTGTGTGTTTCAGTTGCGCGATAATCAGGCTGATTTAGAATGAGATTACAAGAGTGAAAGTAAGGTGAAAAAAAAAAAAAACACTGAGCAGCAGCACCAGGCAGAAGGTTAAAGGCGGTGCACGGGAAAGATGGATAGCGAGCCCGGCAATATTCACAACTTGGATTAATTTTTATGAAAAACCCTTTTGATCCTTTTAATCAGTGGACCCTTACGTACTAAAGGAATTTAAATAATTGAGGATGGACACATTCTGACTGTATGACCGCTTCAGAGGAAGGAAGTCTCCACCTTTTTTTCCCCCTCTTGTTTACCATGCCAGTAAATCTGAATGAATTTTACTTTGGTGCTCCCGGTTTCCGTAAAATGATCTGAACGATTGAATTGTGGAGAATCTAACCAATGAAACGATGTGTGGCAAATCCAAACTGACAAAAAAGATTTATATATTAACATGCGCTATTTAAGCTGCTCAGAACTGTCATCGACTGGTCCCCGGTGGGCGTCACAGCAGCTCACATGACAACAGCAAAATAAGTGATAATAGAATAAAATTAAAGTAAAATATTACTTATTAGTACATATAGTAAGATGGGTAGGAACAGTATGTTGTATATGACATGAAAGATGTTTTTAAAAGGCATTTCAGTGGCAATTTTAACTACCAGGATTGCTGGATACATAAAATATACCTGAATCTCCTTTGGCCAAAAATGGCTCCTTTCAAAGTAAAGGTTGCTGACTCCTGAGTTAGAGCCATCATCTGTTTAGAGATTGCCATTGAAAGAAATTCTGCATAGCAACTAAACGACTATTCCCATTGATAAATTATGAAAAAATGGCTTTCACTAATAAGGAGCAAAGATTTTCTCATCGCAGCCACCGAGCTCAGCTCCTGGTGATTTAAAGACTGAAAACATTTCAGTGTTTTTGCTTTCCCTGTTTAGTGCTTCATTCCTATTAAACACATCATGCTAATAATGTGATGCTCTTAACATACACTGGCCTATTCTCTTTCAAAATGTTTTCGCTCACATTTAATTGGACGCTATCGCCCCAAGCAGCTTGCAATGACGTGAGTGCAAACACTGTCTGAATGCAGCTGGTCACAGTGGGATTTAATATCATGAGATAACAAGTTTGTACCAGGCTTTTCACACTGAGATGAGGAAGAAACGGACCTGCTAACCCAACCAAGATCCTCACCTGGCAGTCGTCCACCTTGGTCTTCATCACGCCCTTCATGTATTCCTTCTCCATGGTTGGTGACACGCCAAAACTGTTCCCCATGCACAGGATCTCTGTCCGGCCCTCGGGGTACGTCACCTCCACCGAACCATTCAGGATCACCGACCACGAGTCCAGCTGGAGCCCGAACACAAAGTTATGTTAGTTCGATGTTGGAGGAAGAAAAGAGAACAAAAAGAAAAGAAACAAATTGGAAAAAAAAAACAAGAATAACTTTGTAGATCAAATTAAGTTCAGGCAAGTAATGTCCCCAACAGCTGGTGTCCCTTAATGAGTCAAAGTTATTTATCAAAAAGAAGCATATGCAGTAACTGCAAGGGGACTTCTGCACCAACAGATGGTTTTTTAACTTCCCTCAGAGGGATACAGCATGAAATATTACAGCTGCCCGACAAAACACAACAAAATATGAAGAAGCGATACACTCAAAGTATTGTTACAAATAATGTATGCTTTAATGAAATGAAGAAATATGTTTTTTCTAATCCTTTTGAGGGATTAAGTAAAACTAAGGATGTTTCCAAGGATTCCTGAAAAGCTGACATTTCAAAGATTCACATCTTTTATGCCAACAGCAACAATATGCTCAATGAACCCTGAATTCTCTTTTACCAGACATTTACTAAAGTGACCAGGCCTTCGAGGCAAGGTCTGCTCTCTGTTAGAGTGCATTCTGGGAAAGAAAAAAAACAATTGTCTTCATTGAAACTCATGTCGTGCCTTGACCAGGGAGACAGAGAGAGAGAGAATAAGTGATGCCTGCTTTAGTTGCCTAAGGGATCCTAGATAAAGCCTGGAACTACGGGTTGTCTGCCATTCAGATTTAATAGAGCAGAAAAAAACATTAAATGGAAGACGAAGGACTCACTGGTGTGAAGGGGTGAGGCTAAGGTTCAGTTCCCCGAGAGACACACACACATATATAAATATAATTAAAGGCAAGACAAAGTCACAAGACAGTGTGTGAATATGCACCAACACACACCTCCTCTCCATCATTGAGAACGATGGTGCCGGCGCGTTCGACCACAGCGAAGACCATGACGGCACAGAGTTCCCTCCTCACTGACATGGTCATGTTGGCAAATGCTGGCAGTTGATGCATGAACTCCAGTAATTGCTCTGTGAAGAGGGACAGGGGAGAGACAGCAGAGGAAGTGGAAGAAGGTTGAGGAAAAAAAAAAAGAGCAAACAGAGTCTTGACACCCAGAGGAGAGAAAGAGGACAGGCAGCAGCGCTCTTGGCAGGCCTGCACATTTGCCCTCACTTCCAGCCAATAAGGCACGAGCTGGAGGCTGAGCATCGGAACGGATCATTGCCACAGTGAACGGCCAACAGAGGAATCATTATCTGGAGAACATGAAGCCAAATATCAATTCCATTGATATAAACTTTCAAGGCGAGCCAAGAATAATTGCTGACACTTCACTCAGTGACCTCTGCGCGAGTTTAAGAAGTTCATTCCAGGCACTGAAACTGAAACCACACTTAGTACTCTGATCGAGTTTAAAGGGGGAGTCCATGAAAGTTACAAAAAGCATATTTTCGGAATCATCTGGAGTTATCTAGCTACGCAGAAAAGCCCTGTTTCAAACAAACAGTACGGTACGGTTCAGAACCCTTTTTTTGGTTTCAACTGTGAAAAGTTATGGATGGTACCAATGGAACCGTTCCGTGCCGTCCCCATGTTTGGTCCCCCCTCTGTTGGGGTACCTAGCACACAGATCTGGTACTAAAAGGTGGAACTGTGAACACTGCAGTCTGATTGGTCAGTAGAGGTCACTCTGCTCAGGGCTGAGTTGAGGCTGGTTTTGAGGTTCATGTAACCACTGTTCATATCACAGAGAGTTTTACATATATTAGCAAACTATGACTATAAAATGAAAGGATGTTTTGCTGCCTCTTACAGCAGCTGGAGTCGGAGAAAAAATAATTTAATTCACTGGGCCGACTGCCGGCAACTTTTACAGTGGAATGTTTACTTGTAATGTTACTCAATGTGTGAGGTGACGATGTGAATCCATCAACACACCTTTAATTTCACTGTAACAACTTTGACCATTACTTTAGTTTTTATTGTCTCTCCTGGATGACATACATTTCTAGTAATTAGTTGATCTTCAAGCACCATTCCCGTGGGCTCTGGCAACACTAAACCCCCGAGCTTGCCTGAGAAGGACGAAATGCACATCTTTAAATATCCGATGGAAAGAGACTCTCACTGCAGCCTGTTTTATTTTGTTCTGAAAATGTCGACGTGCTCGTTCTGTGGACGATATATGAGGTGCAGACTGATAAAGCGGGAAATACAGTGAGTGCTGGACAGAGCAGTGAGTGACAACAACCCCGCCCACATGAAGGAGTACTGTGTGCGGTGGAAACGTTAAGAGGACCTAGGATCTAGGTACCATGTCTGAAGGATTACTTTTGGTTCCAAAGGTACCATACCGAAAGGGGCTTAAGTTATATGAAAGTTCCTCTGTATAACTCAAAGCATTTGAGGCTGCAACTGACAATTACTTTCATTATCCATTAACATGAATCAGAAAATAGAAAAAAAAAAAAGTCCAAATGTCTTCTTTTATTCAACAAATACTTCAAAACTCAAAGATATTCAGTCCATTATCACATATGACGAAGAAAAGAAGCCAATTCTCAAATTCATAAAGCTGGAACTATCAAATATTTGGCATTTTTGCTGACTATCACGATGAATCAATTATTAAAATACCAGACTTCATTGTGAGCAGGGACACAGGGACAGATACTTCAGTACTAAGTGTGGGCATTCAGGTTTTGCAAAGCAACCGGGGCACTGATTCTTAAAAGACATGTTGCTATTCTTTTATTCTCATTTCTTTTGTTTAAGCAGCATATATGGAATGTTTTTTTCCTACTTCTCCTGTGGCAGATATTTCAGAGCAGGATATTTTAAAACCTGGGTACATCGAAACCAAAACTGCTGCAGCAGAAATTATGCCGTTTTGTTATTCAGTGTATGGCCTAAATATTGGGTGTATCTGACTGGGTGTGTCGCCAAGGGAAATGCTGTGTACAATGTAGCTCCTAAGACATTCTGCAGCACCCGACACTGAAGTCCAGAGAAGGAATATACCCGTCTCTTCCTGTCTACCACCCAGCTCTCCCCTCCTGGCTGGCCGGCAGCAGTCTGGCGTTCTGGCTGACCTGTACTTGGCATGGCAACAGCGTTGTGTGTGAAGCTGCGGAAGCACTGAAAGTTTAATGTGCTGGGAGAGGTGAGGCGAGAGGATGTGCCTGAGTGACCTAGAAAAGCCTGCTGGCGGCAGAGGGAGGGGTGTACCGCGGGGGGGGATGGATCAGCGAATGAGGGGGGAGGGGGAGAACGGTTGGCACTCACTCTCTGCATCCAGTGCATCATCCTCCCCCAGTCCACATCTGTAGCCAAGCTCTGAGAGTGTGTACTTTCTTTTTTTTTTTTTTAAACATGCCTATCATTATCATTGGAGTTGAGTCATAGCTTTAACGGATATGATACTGCAAGCCTGATGTGGCTTTGAGAATTACTCGAAAGCCGACACCATAAATGAGAGCAGGGAAGCAAAACAGGCTTCAGACAAATGTAGATTTATTGTGACCGATTTAAATAAGAAAGGAGGGTGTGGCCTTTATGCTGCGCTGAATTAATCTAAAATTGGGACGAGGAGTACTGTCCCAGCCGGGAACAACGCGGCTTGTGCTTTTTACAGATATCTTTGAAAACCCTCCTCTAAAGAAGTCTAAAGATCTCAGGCATGCACAAAAAATAGATTGGTTATTTTTAAAGTAAACACTGCATGGTGAAATAACTTTTTTTTACAACAGAATTGTTCATACGCTGCACTGAGACACTGCTGCACATTCACAGAGCACAACACTGGATGCTCACCTATGTCGTCGTCGGTCCTGTCCATGGGGTCCTTCTCCAGGCAGTCCCGCACGATGTCCCGGCTCATGAGGGGGTCCGACGCTCGCTCGATGTCCTCCTCATCGTCGTCCTCCTCGGAGTCAACGGCGGTCTCTGGCAAGCCGCTCAGGTCCATGTCACCTGGTTCGTTTTCTGTGGCCTGCAGAGAGTAAACAGATATGAGTCAGACATCTGCTGTTGGAGCTCAACAAGGTGAGGGACGTGGTGTGTCCTTCCCAAAAAGTCAAAGTTCAGATGTCCATCTAGAGCCACGTCTTTGAGCTTGACACAGACACACCTACCTGCATGCTCATTACAAACAATGCTTCAGATTGTCAGCTACAGGCCTGAAAAGCCGGTGACCAAATTCATGTTCATCTCTCAAAACTCAGACAGAGTCAACTCATAAACAGTTTATGTAAAATCCAGCATAGTAAGGATACAGAGACAGAAGTTGCGCACACACACACACACACTGCTGAAATCGTTTTACAGTACAAACATCAGCTGCGACACACTGTGTTCCCAAACAAAAGCAAAATAAAAAAACACCATTGTGCAGATTTGACCCATTTAATAAAATGGATTAGAGGTATTCAGTACAGTAAAAGAAAGACAGGCGTCAACACTGCATACCAAACAGTCTTCTATGCATAGTAACAAGCTAATTAACTCCCAACTTTCCTCTCCTCTCCCCCTCAGCAAACTCCACCGCCTGCCTCGAAGCCAGATCCTGTTCTTTGAAAGCACGAGATGAAATATGTGCGGAGATGAGGAAAATGAACCGAGATGAGAAGCGAAAGTAATGCAATTACTTGTGCAGGAGTGATACTAACAGAGTCCCTCTGCTATCATCAAAGGAAATATTTCTATAAATGACAGAAGGGCCACAGCGCCTGGTTCACGCTCACACAACATGAAACCTTCTCATGGAGAAAAAGGACTACAAAGCATCAGCGCTGCTCCCCCGCCACAGTGAAACTCCCCCCGACCCCCTTCTTACCTCAATACGGTGCCAAACCTCAAGCTTCTTAATAGATAGAGAAGGAAAGGTTGCCTTTGCAAACTGTCCGCAAAATCCCAGAGCTAGACGCATCTTCACCTCCCAGACTGTCAGTCTGCTTTTAATTTTTCAAGGCTCAGAGTCCTCATGCCTGGTCTCTCACAGAAACCCTATGTCATTTCTCCTCAAACGCCATGTGCAAAAGGCTCATTAATGATTCAGGCCAGTGTCTGAGTGGCCATTTGGGCGTCACCGGCGCACACACCCTGGTGGGCAGGGCCGATGATCTGGGTGTATGAGTGAGGCCTTTTGACAGTCACAGATTGAGTAAGGAGCAATATGCATTACAAGTGGTGCAGTTTGTCTTATGATAAAATGAAATAGATCAATAAGAAGTGTAAATGCACTCAAATAAATCTGGTGTCGATGGCTGTGTAACAAACTTTTCAGGATTGAAAATTGAAGGACTTCTTACATAAACGAAGATAATTCCCTGAGCTCTCTTTGTCCTGAAACCACAGACAGTTGCATATTCATTGCCCATTTTCTACAGATGGACAGAGGACACAGTAGACAGGTTCACCACACTCGTCATCAGCAGCAGACGTGTTAGGGAACAAACATAAATCAGCAAAAGAGAAGCGAGGATGCATATTCTTTTATAGACAACACAGAGATTTCATCTTATTTTAACAGGCAACACTTAACACACCATACTGAGATTTGGCTTGTTAAAGTCTTGCCTTTGTATTTGGGCACACAGGCTCGTTTTCGTGTCATCTATGCATCAAAAATCCATTAATGTGCAGTAAGCATTACGAGTCAGTGGGCAAGTCAGGTGTTGTTAATATTTCATCAGGGCTATTCTTGGATCAATGCTTTCAAAGTCCTTCTGAAGGACCAATTTCATGATTTATTCAGACACAAAACAGTGCGCCATGTTGCCGGTGACGTGAGAGTGATGTGGGACTCTTGGCGGGGTGCTTCAATTGTCGAGGCCAAAGGAGGCTGTGGAGATTAGAGCAGCAGGGCGGGCCGGTGGTAAAACTATTCAATGCTTCCCATCTCAACAATCTGCACCCCTATCTGCTCCGCAGCTCTAAAATTAAAAGCTAACACCACGTTTCGTTTACCATCAACTCCCTGTGGTCTCAAGTGTGAAGAACCAGACCTCCCCTGATCCATTTATTCAAACAACACCCCCAACGAAGACCACAAACATCGCTCGTGATCTACTGCGCCACATTATTGATTCTAAAACCTGCAGGGTGCAACTTTAGCTAACGATAAAGAAGTAATGTTGCATAAAACAAACAGTTTGGAGAGTCACGTCGGGTACCCCAGGACAGTAACATGAGTTTTAATCCTTTTCTTCATTTTTAATGCTCATATATTTTAATTTTGTGCACTGAGCGTGAGTGGTCTGACAGTTAGACAGGGGGGCTCGTGTGTAGAAGCAGTTCAACCCTGGACTGGCTGACAAAGTAAAAGACGAACCATCTCCTTTATTTAACAGCTGGTTAAAAACTGGTACTTCATCCTCATTACAGAGGTTGTGCAGCAGTAACCCCGAGCAGGCTGAAGATAAATCTGAGAGGCCAGCAGAGGGAAACAGAAATATTTCTACAAAATAAAATGGTATTTTATATATTACTGGATCGTGTTACTTCTTCGGGCCTCCAAAAATTATTCAAATCAAACTACGAACAATTTTTTTTTTTAAACAAATAACAATCCAAAGACATATTTATCCAACCAGTGACAGGTGGTGCAAGTAGAAATAAACTGCATGGTTTCCAGAAGCTTTTAGGGCCCTGGCACACCAAGCTGTTGGCGCTAGTCCGCCCTAGTCTGCTGCTGTTTGGCTGGTTCAGCATGTTGAATTAGTTGCAGAGCTCGTTGGTGAGAGAAATCACTCAGATTAGCAGTTCAACTCAGTGCAAGAGAAAAAAACGGAAGTGAGGAAAGTAAACAAACGACAAAGTCAAGAAAGCATGACATCAAAACAAACTTATTGTACTAGGTAAGGGGTGTTTTTTAGCTAGTGAGCGACGTTTTGTAAGAGTTTGCACTGTTCGTTAGGGCATGGTAAATATCCTTTGTTCTTTAAACATAGAGTTGTTAATGTAAACGGCTAGCTAGCCTCTTCAATTCTTTCTTGTAGGTCCTCTGATTTCCTCTTTCTGAATGTTGTGAGACTACTGCCACCTGCTGGTAAAAGAAGTTATTTCCTCTTACACAGACGCACTAGTTGGCTGATGGCTGAAGTCTCTGCAGTGTGTCAGGTGCAACTTTTTGACCGAGACACAGGAAATGTGAGGTGACACAAGAAATGTGAGTTGACACAACCGTCTGCCTGTGTCGACACTAGTTCTTTGATAACAGTTTGGTGTGTCTGGGCCGTAAGAGCTTTCTCTTGGCAAGCTAACTGTGATTGAATTGAAACTGGACTGTAACCTTTTGTCTATAAAATGGCTACTACTATTTCCCAGAGTCAAAAGTGACATCTTCAAACAGCTGATTTCATCTGCCTAAAGGCCAATTTCCACCAGATGCATGTTGGTTGCGTCTGCGCTCCGGCACGGCAGCGGAGCCGATAGGATTCCATTCTAGCTGCGGCTGTGCTGCGTTCCGGCTCCGTCTCAGCTCCGGCACTCCGCAACAGATATGCAGGACTTCTATTTTTGCCGGACGCCGGAGCACAACGCAGCAATTCAGCACAGAGCAGATCGTGCGGGGCAGGAAGTCGTGCACAGAAACACAATAAAACATCCGGTTTATTTTCAAAATAAAGTACATAGTGTTCATGGCGGATCATATTTCCCTGCACTACATCTTAAAAACTACATAATGGGCAGAGGCAGGCCTGAAGTCAACAGGTCAGAGGTTTTCAGACGTCATTTCACCCCGTTGACACCATGGACGAGGAGATATTAATCATGGCAGTGCACCGAGATGTCTCCTGGCGGAGCTGCACTGCACAGCAAACGCAGCCGGTGGGTATTGACGGACGGCGGAGCACGCAGCGGATAACCTGCGCTGCCGTTCCTCAACAGACACGCATCCAGTGGAAATCCGGCGTAACAGTCCGAAACTCAAAAATATTCAGTTTACTTTTATTAACAACAAAGGAAAAGCAAAATGCAAATCTTCTAACTCTGGGCATGCAACCCAGCAAATTATTGGCATTTTTGCTTCAAAAAGGACTCAAAGTATTAATGGATTATCAAAATAGTTGCAGATTAATTTCCTATCAATCAACTAATTGTTTCAGCTCTAATTCAAGCAGTATTAACGTGGGACTGTGAGGACTAGTGCACTGGAAAAACAGCTCGCATACCTGACAGTGTTTACCTGCAGTTGACTGCTTTAGCCTGGCGGATGTCACAAAAATCGGCCCTTCATTTTAACACTTAAAAATTTCTCTACATTCTACCACCGGCTATGAGCTACTCCTGTGGCTCAGGAGGTAGAGCAGGTCATCCACTAATTGGAAGATCAGCCGCTCGATCCCTGGCTCCTCCAGTCTGAATGTTGAAGTATCCTCGAGCATGATACTGACCCCCAAATTGCTCCCGATGGATGTTCCATTGGTGTGCAAGTGTGTTAAAAACTGAGTAGCAGGTGGAACCTTGTATGATAGCCTCGGCCTCCAGTGTAGGAATGTGTGTGTGAATGGGTGAATGAGACTCACAATGTAAAAAGCGCTCTGAGTGGTCGGATGACTAGAGAGGCGCTATACAAGTGCAGTCCATTTACGATTTACATCAGCATGAATTAGATCCACTGCTTAGCACATGTTTAAAAACTGATTGTGTCACTTCTACGATTATAGAGGAAACACTGATTGTAAACGCACCACAAGCACACATAAGTACATCACTAGTCAGCAGAGCAGAGAAGTTTGATCATGTGATAAAAGACAGAACGATAAAGGCATTGAGATTGAGACAAAACAAGTTCAGGTGTCTGTACAGCACTCAGAGACCGAGCAGCTGTGGCCTCAGGTAGATTAAAAGCTGTTAGAGTTGTGATCCAGCACAGGAGGACAAAGAGCCTGAAGACAGAAGAAGAAACAGGGCAGTGTGTTTCAGAGAGAAATCAAGAGACAGAGCTAGCAGATGGCTGTTAGACCAGGATCACAGTCTGGGGACAACAGAGCCTGTTCAACCTGCTCCAGCCAGACACGGCACGGCCAAACATACACACGTGTCTTTACGATGACACACACTCACACAGGCCGAACACGCAATTATAAAGCTGTATTCAAACAATCTGATCTAATGCCCCTGCACACACCAACACGAGCCAAGAGGAGGTCCAAACAAAACAAAGTGATTCTGACTGATGCCCCCTGAGCACCGTCATCAGCACACTTACAAACACACACACAGGCACACAGCAGGTGACAGCATTAGGAGCCAATAGGGTGGGTGCTCTGTGTTAAGAGGATTAGTTGCAGGGTTTGGGGCATGTCCACAGTCACGAGATTTTGTGTGTGTGTTCTTTTGAGCTGAATTGTGTTTTATTTGCCTCTTGAGGGGGGGGAGGTTGATGGAATATATTTACATTTTCTTTCTTTCTTTAACAAGTGTTACTTATTTATTACCTTTGTCACACTCAAACCACAAAAACAAGTTGCTTTATGTAATATTTTAGCATGAAAACAGCTCATAAAGCTCCTTATCACACGAGATTGTACGTCACAGCTCCCCGGGAGTTCTGTACTTCTGCTTTGAGGTGATGAGAGGCAGAGCTGGAGTTAGGAAGTAGGCTGGACCACCTGCTCGCAGCCACCCGCCTGTCTGCTCGTATCCCGCTGAGCAGCGAGAGTGTCCTGTTACTGTCTCATAGTCTCATTGCCTGCCAAACGTTTACATTAGTTCCCAAATTTTCTTGTCTGACTTAATGAGACTAACCAGCAGTCCCTGAAGTCATTTCACCAAGGAGAGTCTCACCACCTTCAAATAATGCGAGCCGGGCTTCAGTTCAACCATTTTACTTAAATTATCCGCACAGACTGGGTGAGAAATATTACATAACAGTTTCATTTGAACTATACAATCATGAACATGTCATGTCAGTTTAAAGGAAAAATTCACCCATAAAATGACCCCCTAATTGTATATCAGTTACTCACCCCATGCTACACCGACTTTGTGAAGACAGAGTGGGTCATTTGTGGGTGACGTATTTCTTCAAACTAGACTGTAAATTAACAAAAACCCATCCCATTGTCAAAGTTAAAAGGACAGTTCAAATTTTTTGAAGTATGGTTGTAAGTGGTACTCATTAGGCTCCTAGTTTACAGAATCAGAATGGAGACCAACTTGAAAGCTAAGCAATCTACTGCTGTGGAGGGGTCGGCAACAAAATGTATTTTAACCACATTAAAAGTGTGACCAAAAATACTCAATATCAGTTTAAGTGTACTCTATATCGAGAGTAACCTCACTACTTTATCTTAATGTCAGACAGTGATTTCAGCTGGAAAATGAAGTCCTTATATCACTCTTTTCAAAGCCAGACTCCATTGAGAAAAACAGTGATTTAATATTGCTCAACACAGGATCTGCTGCTCTTACGCTGCCTTGATGGATTAGCACGTTTCTATTATTGTGTGACTTTGGCATTTAAAGAATTAGTTTGGGTTCAGCAAAGTCACACAATAACACAAACTAACTAACTGATCGAAGCTGTGGTAGACCAGCAGCTCCTGTGTTCAGCGAGCTAAAATTACTGTTTTTCTCAATGGAGTCTGGTGACTTTGACGAGAGCTTAGTTGGGGAACTGAAGCCTTTAATGGCATTCCTGTCGAAACGGACTGTCTGACAAAAATGTAAAGCGATGAAAATACTCTCTATATAGCATACACTTAAACTGATATTCATTTTTTTGGCGCAATGTTTTAAGTGGCTAAAATATGTTTTGTTGCTGATCCCAATCCAGAGCAGTACTGTACATTGCTTAGCTTCTGTGTTGGACTCCAGTCTGCTTCTTCAAACCAGAGGCATGCCGACTGACATCTACTGTATGTAATACACTGACTATGGATAAGTACCCCATGATAACCCACTTCAAAAAACCCAAACAATCCCTTTGACCTCAATTATTTTGAGTCAGATGGGCAGATTGATATGTCTCTTGTGTCTGTGTCCAGTTAACATGAAGCTCTGGTCAGCAGCTGGTTAACTTAGCTTAGCTTTATGTTAGCACAAAGGTTGAAACGGCTCTATCCAAAAGTAACAAAATCTCCTAACAGCACCTTTAAAGCTGATTAATAAATACATTATTGTACAAAAACTGAAGAGTGAAAACAAAATGTAGTCATTCCAGTTTTTCAGCAAGCTAAAGAGCTGCTGATAGTAGCTTCATGTCTACTGTACAGACCTGAGAGTGGTTTTGATCTTCTAAAATAACTCCATTCAAGGAAGATAATAGGGCAATATATCAATATTATATTGATATTGTGATATGAGACTAGATATCATCATAGATTGTGGTTCTTTTGTTTCCCTTTACCCAGTTAGCCATTATATCCACGTTACTGATGATTATTTATTTAAAATCTCATTATATTAATATTCTGTGAAGCACCGACATTCAACCCTGCAGTATAGTCACAATATGGATTTTGAGGTATTTGGTTAAAAATGTTGCGATATTTGATTTTCTCCTTATCACCAAGCCCTGAAAGATAAGGAGTAAAGAAATAAAATTGGCCCAAGAACGATTATCTGTGCTAAACTGATCACCAACCTGTTCAGAGTTCGTCCAGTTACTAATCTATCACACCTACTGATCTATCCAGGGGAGTCCAGACTGGGGATCCAGCTCCAATGGGGGGCGTCCTTACCTGATAAATGTCTGACAGGCTGCTGCTTCCAGAGTCGCTGGTGATACTACATCCTGAGTGGCTGGAGGAGACGTGGGTCACCTGTGGGTGCAAGCCGTCGGCCAGGTGAAGTCTGCTGAAGTCTGCGGGGAGCTGCACATACACACACACACACACACACACACACACGACATACACACAGATGGTCAGTATCAGCCAGCTCAGCCGCCACCACTGGTCACTCGTGCTAACACTCGTGCTGGCTGCCGGCCAGGTGGCAACGCACTCGGCGGCCTGTTGCCCTTCAGTTTGTCTGAAGATATAGTTCTCCATTTTAGTCATTTTAAAGTGGACGCACAGTAAAGCTTGCACTTGTTTCTGATCAGCTGAACGGCGGCTGTTGTATGTTTTGCATGTGATTTATTCACGAACTACAAAAAATTAACTGCCCCTTAAATTTTAATTGGAAAGTTGTCTAAAACACTTCTCTTCTATTCATGAATACTACGGATTATCTTTGTCTTTATTCCACAGCTGCGATTATACAATGTTAACAGAACAAAATTAATTAGTCCCACTGCAAGAGCTCAACTTTACACATAATTTATTATCAAAGCAAAGAAAAACGTTAATTAAATCATCCTACTTCTATAGAATCTGTCAAAAACATTTATTAAGTTTAACAAAGCATAAGACTGCGAATAAAAGCCTCCTTGTCTTTACCCTGCCTCTGTGTGTCAGTTATAGAGCACACTAAACCTCCTGTTTATCAGAAGGTCTAAAAGGGAGTCTCATTGTCTCAGAGACAAACTCACAGTTCATCAGACATACTGAACAGTGCTATAACACTTACGCAGCTCCTGATATCAGCAGTTAACTGCGCTGGAACTTCTTTTTTTACGAGCAGAATAAACCAACAAGAGGAGCTGCATACATCAAGGAAATACCCTAATTAAAGCACGCAACACGCATAACCTAAATGAACACCAGGCGGTAATGGGGGGGTAACCCCTCTGAGTAATTCATACTGTATAAAGTAACAGAAAGCCGGCATTGTAATGAGTCATATTGTAAATGAGCCAACCCACTTCTCTATGGAGATGACCCTGAAATGTAAAATACATCAGAAACCCTCCTGCTGACGCTTTAAGACGCAGATGATTAAAACAAAAACAAGTTTGGCAATTAGTAGAGCAACAGTGTTTGTGGTTTATCTGAAGAGCACGCTGTAGTGGATCTAAATGTGTAGTATGAGAGCTGAAATGATACTTCTCAAGCAAGAATGCCAAACGTCAGATTTTTTTTGGCTTATTGGCCTTTATTAGACAGGACAGATGGTTGACATGTGGGGGGGAGTGTTAATGACGTGCAGCAAAGGGCGGCGGGTCGGACTTGGACCTCGGACTACATGGGGTGCACACTCTACCGGGTGGGCTACTGTTGGTGGTAACTTCGCAAAGAAGCTCTAAGCGATATTCAGAGTGGATCTGATTCAGAGGTTATTTGCACACGGCTCTCAACATGGAGGTGGCTGAGATGGTGGCTAGCAGCTAACAGTGCTAACAATGGCAACAGTGCTTTTTAAAAAAATAAATAAATAAATTTTTACATGTTTTACAGGATTACACAACATTTGTGTCAGAGACAAATACAATCACAACGGCAATAGCGCTGACAGAGCTAACGATGTTAGCTGGAGGGTAGGTGCTATGCTTCTGTGACGACGCCATCCGGATTTCAGCAGTAACCTCTGTATAAGCGCAGTGCAGAGCTGCAGCAACGAGCTAGCCAGTGGGATACACACACAGGGACTCACATGCACTGACATCCAACAACGACATCCATGTGCGGCTGGACCGTCTACCACAATGAGCAGAGAAGATCGGATTAAAACACACACATAGGGACTTTAATTTCATTTTTTGATTAGGACGCCATTACTCCACTTTATCTTAACACAGAAAATAAGTGTTTGCTGCTATACTAATGCTCTGAATGTCACATAGAGCTTCTTTAAATATGAGGTTTTTCCATTTTTCTCTCTTTTTTTATATAAATATAAACTGAATATTTGAGGCCTTGGCCTGTTAAACAGACAAAACAAGGCTTCTAAGGGTGGCACGTTGGATATTTTCCACTATTTTCTGATATTTCATGGACAAAACAATTAACTGAGAAAATAATTGTCACATTAATCAATCAGTATACTACTGTATTATGCATCATTACTTGGTTTCAATGTATCTATAGTTGGAAAAATGTGATTTTCTAATTAAATTAAAAGTACTTTATTCATCCCTCATTGGGGAAATTCAATTATTGAATTAAATCATACATATACTGATGAATTCCTTTATTTATGTGGTGAGTGTAAAGTCTTCAGATGCTATGGTTTACATTAAATTTTATATATTATTTCAAATTTGCATAGTATACAGTGTTTTCCACCCAGACCCATCATATCAGACTAGAAAGCCACAGGGGTGAATTATGAATTTAATCAGCCAGCGTGAACTGGTTCATGGAGTCTATAGACGTAAATATTTTATGGCCAAATGTTTTATTTACCAATATATATCTGATACTCAGCAGGGAGACTGCTTTAAACTCCACTTCTGGCTGTGGCACATCATCAATATTACATTTTTTTACACCTAAAAGTCAAATGTGGCTGATTTAACTGGGTTGCTTCATTCATCACATGACATCAGAGCTGATTCTGAACATCTAGAGAGTGAGTTTAACACTGTTTTTACATGCTGGGTGATTTCAGATGTGGACAGTAAACAAGATCTAGAGCTTTATTTATGTATTTTAAATGCTTCTTCTGGACAGTAACTTTCAACCCAGGTTCCATAAGTGCTAATAAATAAAGGCTAGATTATGAATTTCATAACAAAAAACTTACAGTCATTAGCCGGGCTTTTAGCTCCTCTTATCTGAGCTGTAAAAGGTATAATGGTCTCTGATGTACAGTAGTCTGGGTGTCAGCATCTTCTGCTGCACAATGCACTTTGGGCTGTAAATAACGACACTGCCTCGGATAGTTTTTGGAAATCAGCCTCAACACTACGGAGTCTCTCTTGGATGACAAATGGAATAGATAGGATAGAAAATCATTTTGGGAGATTAATTTGCAAGTAAATGGGCTTGAGCCGTCATTTGCTCTTCAGGCTACTCCGAGAAGACGTCACAGATTCTGAAGCACTTGTCAGGTTAATTTAAGAGTTTTGGAAATGGGAGAAAAAGTGTTTTTCTTATTGGCAGAATTATCACTGTGGAGTCGTGGAAACTAGTTTTGACTAAAGGACTTCTTAATATTCATGATCTGCCCATAATCAAACTGAAGAGCTCGGAGGTGTATTAGCACTGAATTGATTTGGCAGAGGGTGTTGCGGGATATTTGGAGACCTTTCTGAGCTATTTGTGAGGAGAAAATTAGAAAATAAGACATATCTATTCACAAAGCACCTTTAAGTGTCAGTGACAAGAGACTGAGAGCCAGACTGTGCAGCTCCAGTGGCACTGAGGTGTGATGTGACTACACTGTGTCAAAGATTGCCATCACGTTTAATTATCTGGCTGGCTGCACTAACCAAAATGGTCGACCGGAGGGCCCAGTCAGTCACTAACCCCCCTCAGGCTGCTATTTCCCATCCCCTCGCCTGGTCGACTTCACTCTGAACGCCTGCAGCTGACTTCCATGTTATTATTACCGGCTGGGCATTATTGTGTTAGTGTGACGAATCTCTTTGTCTGTTTGAAAGTGCAGTGATAAAGCCTCATCGCATTTCCTTCTGATGACTTTTGGGAGCAAAAGAGATTATGGTGCAGTTTATCACTCTCGTGTAATACAAACCTCAGAGGTAGAGTAATGTTGGAGCGACGACTGTGACCATTTATATGTGTTTGTGGACATCTGTAATAGGAGTGTTGTGGCTTTCAGGCTTTAACTTTATTGGGAGACGGACTAATGCAGTGACTTATGGCCCACATGCTACATAAGGTTTTCTAATGGTGTGTTCACATTGAATGCAAAGTGAATTTTCACCTTGCATTAATGCAGCCGCTGGAGTGTTTTATGGAGTTTATTCACAAATGGTGAATATTACCCCTGAGCAGCTCTGCTAACAGTTGTGCTAACTAACTGGGGAAGGCAGCTAACGACTAACTTGGTTCACAGTGGAGCACAATGGATAGCAGGTATTTTACGTGAACACTGTAAACATGGAGGCTCTGTTCTCTGAACCAAGACAGCAGCACTCTTTTCTTTTTCATATTGTCCATGGCAGGGCATTACCGCTACACTTCCTCCGTTATTCATCTTCCACAGTAACAGACAGACTTAATTTCAAAGCATTTTGCTAAGAAGAAATTCAACAAAACAGCTTACACAAGTCACAAATAAATAGTTCTGTGGCTTCGCTCTCTGACATCGAAGTCCTCTTTCTTTTTTGTTTTCACTCTGTACGGTACTGACGTTAAATGTTGAGCTATGGGTGCCAACAGACGCCAAAAATGGGTTTATCCTCCATTTCCGATCTGATTTACTGTACTATCAGGAGAATCTCAACCAGATTTTAACACTGACATGCTTGCGACTTAGTGTCATGCTAATTTCTCGCGCAAGTTGAAAATTTTCAACTTGGGAATCTACTTTCATTGTAAATAAGGTGCCGGAGTGCACAAAAACATCAAAATAGAGCTTGTTTATGAGAAAAAAGTACCAGGGGAGGATCCTCTGACTCCCCGACAAAAGGTCAGGGTGAAGCTCTGAATGTCATTTAATCCCAGAAACGCCCCTGCATACACCTGACTGTGTGGGACTGCTGCAAAGGGATTTGCCTTTTTGCAAAGATGAGTGAAGACTGCAAATGTTGCAATGTTAAAAACAGGCAATTCATTTATTATATTTTCTGATAAATATTATTAATGTTTGATTAACTGCCCACTGACATTTCGCAAAAGTGGCCCCCACAAGTTGAATATCCTTATCCTTATAGAATATAAGAGATTATACTATTATCAAAGAAATGTTGGAGATAACAACAGTACTGCCATATAGAAATCAAAGAAACCCTCAGTGTCAGTTAAATGCCTAAATTATTAACATATTCTAAACAGTTTGTTCGCATAGTCAATGAATGGTTTTG